ACCCTGTTCCGTTTGGAATTTGGAAAAACGTAAAACATGAAAGTTGTAGTCCTTTGAGTTATCTTTCCAACCATATATTGTGGATCTCAAATGGAGTTTTGAGTAAAAAGTTATGTCTATTTTACTAGACAGTGCGCAATATGCCTCTTCGAGTTTTCGTTTTGTTGTTTTATCATCCGTTGATCCCCGAACGCGATCCCGGCTTAATTCCTTGAGCTATTACTCAGACTTCAAAGCTCCAAACCACTTAAATTCATTACATAACATCTATATAGCTCGGAATCACACCTACAAGGCATAAAATACACAATTAGTGTAAAACACTAGCGATTAAAGCACAAACTCAACTAAAGTGCAGTAAATTAGAGTGTAATAATCGACTAAAATACGTAATTATAGCCTATCATCATTTATACATCTCAAAAATAATGTATTTAACTACAGTACTAAAGATATTTTGTTTAATCATCGTGAAATCTATTAGTCAAATAAATTTGGATTCACGTTTGGTAGGTTGAAGCGTTCCTTATCAAGAAGTTTTCTATTGTCAGAGCTCGAAAGGGCCATCCCACCATGCCTCCTGGTGGTAGCTATCAAAAATTTCCTCCTAGATACACGACCATTTGCCTCCGTGAATGGTTAGTAATTAGAATCTCACTAATAAGAGATTGAATTCATTATCTGTACCACAACGGATACGGTGGGATGAATAAAATTTCTCCACCTTTAATCAAAGGTCACGAGTTCATAGAATGAAGAAAGTGTTTTTCCTTAAATAGATTAATCTAGATTAATAGTGATTTTCGAATGTTGCTTCCTTTGCTTACCCTTCTTGCATTTGGCATGACTAGAACCTTGTTTGGAAATATTGTTTCTGATATTGACTAAATGTAGATGCTCCAGTCAAATTCGAAACTAAAAAAACTTGCTTCACTCTTTACCTGTTAACTACGTGAAAAAACAAGCACAAAAGTTGGACATGCAAACATACAATAGGACTTAATTAGATTAATAAGACGGCATTTAATGACAATTGATAGCAAAAATCCAGAAGAAATCCCAGAACCTTTTGATTCGCACTGCTTTTGGACTTGCTTTTTGCAGAGGCGGATGTAGAAGGTTTATTACGAGTTCAATTGAACCCATAACTTTTCACGCGGAGCAAAAATTTATATGTAAAAATTCCTTAATATTATAAAAATAGAAGATATGAACTCATGACTTTAAAAATATAAATCCTAAATCCGCCTCCCATTTTTTGTGGTAAAATAGAAAATTGAAGTGTGAGGAATAGGAACTAGATTCATCCATTAATGTCGTCCTCCACTCCATTATTCCACATAACCAACCATTTATTGCCATGTTGCACTTTTTCTTCTTGCCCCTCTACACAAGATGCTTCGCATAAAGTCTAAACGTCAGCTCATTGCCATTTGCTCTGTCTCCATGTGAGTCCTCTATCTCCAACCACCTGTATAACTCCTCTCAAATTTCCATTTACAGCCCTTCTCCAACGCTCTATTGTAAAGAAAACAAAGTGTATTGCGATAGAATTTAAGTTATATACACTGACAGTATTGTTATATGGAGGACGAGGACAAAGAACTTCTCAACAAAAAAGTATTAGTCCGAAGTGGTTCGCACATGTACGATGAATTGAGGAGTTTTAGAACGTGGTTCAAGTGGATGTGTGTGGATCAATCTGACACTTGGTCTGCTTGCTTATCTTGGTTTGTTTTTATTTGGCTGGCCGTAGTTGTGCCATGGCTCTCCCATTACCTTCTGGCTTGTACCGATTGTGTTTCTGATCACAGTAGGCCGTACGACAGTGTTGTTCAGTTGTCTCTCAGCAGCGTTGCTGCTCTCTCATTCATCTGTCTTTCAAGGTTTAACAAGAAATATGGACTTCGGAGGTTCTTGTTCCTTGACAAGCTTTGTGGTGAGAGCGAGACCGTCAGAAATTGCTACACACAACAGCTTAATGTACGTTTTTTTTTTCTTTTCTTGATTAATTATCAGTCAAAAGCATGGCTTGATTCTACATATTTGACTATCATTTTGTTTCAGTGAAATTATAAATTCATTGAGCGACGCAGGTCATGTTTGTTGTGTGACTCAAGAATGTATTCACTCTATGATTGATAAACTGTTGGGATAAAACGGCCTAAAGATACTATTAACATAGTGTGATATTGTCCGCTTTGGGCCAAATCCGCACGGTTTCCCCAAAAGGGCTCACACTATTAAGAGATCCCTACATCTTATATGTATGCTCCCAATCTTTTCAGCTACTAATGTGGGACTTTATTCGCACAACCAACAATCTCCCCTCGAACTAAGTTCCACGTGGTTCATTATCACGATTCATGGGTCTTTTTCCGAGATTAACTGTGTGACACCCACATTGTTAGAGTATTTATGCCAACTAAAGCCCACAACTAAATTCTTTTTGTGTGCGCGTCTCCAAACCGAGTCTCACACCATCACTTTGTCATCGCCATACTCGGCCCGCTGAACCTGGGCTCTGATACTAGTTGTTGGGCTAAAACGGCCTAAAGATACTCCTAACATAGTGTGACCTTGTCTGCTTTGGGCCAAGCCCGCACGGTTTTTTCCAAAATGTCTCGTACCATTAAGAGATCCCTACACCTTATATGTAAGCTCCCAATTTTATCAGCTATCAATGTGGACTTTGTTTGCACACCCAACATAAACTAAGTCGAATAATTTGAATCGTTTAATTTCTATCAGGAGATAACCTGAATTCATGAGGTTCAGCCATTTCAGATTTGTTCAAATTAGTTACTAATGTGATATGTTCATTCTTGTTGGCTCATTTGTAGCAATTACTTCTTGTACATTGAGCAAATATGATGCACTTATATTCTCTTCTTAACATGCAGAGATCAATGAAAATCCTATTCATTTTTGTCATGCCATGTTTTGCTGCTGAAATCACATACAAGATTTGGTGGTACAGCTCAGGTGGAACTCGATTCCCCTTCTTGGGCAATGTCGTTATGAGTAATATCGTCGCGTGCATTCTGGAGCTCACCTCCTGGCTTTACAGGACTGTGGTGTTCTTCCTAGTGTGTGTTCTTTTCCGCTTGATCTGTTATCTTCAGATTCTCCGACTACAAGATTTTGCTCAGGTACTCTTCCATGTGGATTCTGATGTTGAATCCGTGTTGAGGGAGCACCTTAGAATCAGGAGGCACTTGAGAATTATTAGCCATAGGTACCGCGTGTTCATCTTGTGGGCATTGATATTCATCACAGCAAGTCTATTTGCCTCTCTTCTCATGACTACGCGCCCAAATGCAGATCTTCATATCTATAAAAGTGGTGAACTTGCGGTATGGATTCTCATAATCTCATTTTGGCGTTCTTATTTGTTATCGCTTCCTATTTCCCTCAGAAATGGCTCGAGAAAATCTACCTTTTGCAGATGTCATGCAGTAAATAAAATGTTAATATTTCATGTTTTCGAACTATGTGTATATGTGAAGAAAAGATTGAAAATATATACATACAATAAGATCACGTTTATTTTGGACTCACTGACACTAGATTCTGAATATGATCGCCTTTGTCCATTTGTGGAACTAAATATTTTGGTCTTCATATGCAGCTGTGTTCTGTCAGCCTTCTTGCTGGGCTGATGATACTATTGCGAAGCGCAACCAGAATTACACACAAGGCACAAGCTGTGACGAGCCTTGCTGCAAAGTGGCACGTGTGTGCGACCATAGACTCGTATGATTGGGCTAAGGTTGAGAATTCTCCAGCAACTCAAGTAGCCTACAACCAAGATTTTCATCCGAGTTCTAATGGATCATCTGATGCAGAGGATGTTGGAGATGAAGAAGATGAATTGGATAATACGAAATTCGTCCCATCGTATGCCTATAGTACAATTTCGTTCCAGAAAAGACAAGCTCTAGGTATGCTGATCACTTCATTTAGTTTCCTTATTCTTCCTTCAAAAATGTGCAATATCCCTATATTATTACATTAGGCGTACTATGAAACAGTTGCCTGTGATTCTTCAATTAATATGGTAACGTAAAAGAAAACCTTATACTAGCTATCGGTGCACAGAAGTTAAAACTCATGTATTAATGCATAATTGGTTCGAACGGACTTATTTTGGTGCATCTTCTTGCAGTGACATATTTTGAGAACAATAGAGCAGGAGTGACGATTTACGGCTTCATGCTAGACAGAAGTTCTCTTCACACCATTTTTGGGATAGAGCTGACACTGATGCTCTGGTTGCTTGGGAAAACTGTGGGCGTTTCTTGAATTGTTGACTGCACAATTGAAAACTATATATAATTTGTCGTTGCCTCTGAAATTGTATAGTATAAGATCCTCTAACGTTGCATGGTTTCTTGAACACAGTAAAAGATGAAAGTTTTCTTCTTGTGTATGATTAATTTCCATGAACAAGGAAAGATTTATGCCTGGAATGCCATCGAAGGCAGATCATCGATTCAGTGACAAAAAATAATTTTATGAATTTACTGTTACTTTTTTTTTTTTTGCTTTAATTTATGCTATCTTACCTTATAACTTTACTGCCCAAATTAGGCATAAATTTTCTTTTTTCTGAAGAATAAATCATGTGTATTCCCAAAGTATTACTGAATCGTACGGGTAAGTTCAATGATTCATGACTTCTTGAATGAGCAAGATATGCAGAAAATATAGAATTAGTGAATTCTTTATGAGTGAAGTACGGAACTTTTAAATAGCCCCATAACGTTATCAGCTTATCTGCGTATTCATGTGTAACATTAGAGGAAAAATTGAGACTTGTCTGAATATTGCAGTTATTGATATCCTCTTGTCCTACATCGATGCGGCTGTTTGATTCACGGATGGAAATACGTATTCAAGGATATCATAAGCAGGAGTACACTATATTATAATGAGCGCATGTTTATTTTTACCGTGATGAATTGCACCACATGTTTATTTCATCAAATTAAAAAGGTGAAAATCATTTACATTCTTTAACTTTGTTTTAAAACTCAAATTCCCTCTTCATCTGGATTCCTCTGTTCTAAGCCGGTCTGTTCACAAGTCTCGGATGTTACAACTTTAAACAATAGACATTCTTCATTTTTTTTAGTTGGCCCTTTTAAGTGCCTATTTTATCCTCTATATATATCTTAAGAAGATCAATTTGAATTTCGGATCTTCTTAGAGACCTTTGGGTCTATCAATACCACATAAAAGCAAGTTAAAAACAAGAATAATAATCTTTACTTCCCCCCATGGCTCTGATACCAAGGGGACCGGAAGCGAAGCCCCAAAAAGATTAAGGAAAAAATATATAAATGTAAGGACAAGAAACAAGTAACAAGTTAAATAACTAAACCTGCAGAAGATACAGTTAGAGTGCAAGCAAATAAATCTATGGGGCAGAGCCAACCATGTAAATAAAATGCGATAAAGTAAATTAGGTGGTTTAACAGACCATACACTACTAGAAATCTAGGAATTAGCGACCAAAAATTTGCGACCAAAGTTGGTTGGTCAAAAAAAGCGACCAACGTTGGTCGCTAATGTGAAGAAAATTATTAAATAACTATTTTAAATAATTTACCGACCAAGGTTGGTCGCTTTTTGGTCGGTAAAGTGGTCAACATGTTGACTGGGCTGGTCAGACTTGCTTGGTCAAATAAATATTGAAATTAGCGACCAACTTTGGTCGCTAATGTGGGACCCAGTTATAATGTTTTAATAATTATATTATTATTTAAAATATTTTATAAAATATAAATAAATAATATTTAAAATTGGCGACAAAAGTTGGTCAGTTATGAAAGGGAAGCAAGTAGCGACCAACTTTGGTCGCTATTTTGGGACTCAGTTCTAACGTTTAATAATTATATTATTATTTAAAATATTTTATAAAATATAAATAAATCTTATTTAAAAGTAGCGACCAACGTTGGTCGCTATTTTTTAATTCTGGATAATTAGCGACCAAAGTTGGTCTCTTTTCAGGTCAACATTGGTCAAAAATAAAAATCACTTTTGTATTTACTATCTAAATAATATAAGTGTAATCCGTTAACACTTTTGTAATACAAGAGATGAATACACTAAAATATACTCTAACATACTATATATGTAGTTAAAGTAGTACAACGAAGCGTGTTACATTTTGTTTTTAATGTTCAACGATGCATCTAAGTAGGTTATAAGTCGATGAATCAATTTACACACAGATATATTTGATGAAAAATTATATATACTAATTAGGATCTTGACAAGTCTATCAATCCCTAAAAGAACCCGACAATGTCTTGGGGTCCTAGGCTTCAGGTCACAACAATGTCTAAGTACATTGTGAATGGTTATAAGTTTCATACAGAGGATTGCTCTAAAAATAAAAATAGCAACAACAACGAGGTGTGTGTTCAAGGTGGAGATGGCAACCAAGTTGGAGATATTGATTATTATGGTGTGTTCAAAGAAATAATAGAACTAGAATATACAGGTTGGCCATTTAAGAAATTGATACTCTTTAGATGCAAGTGGTTTGACCCAAATCCAACAAGAGGTACAAGAGTACACAATCAATACAATATAATTGAGGTTAATTATACGAGGGAGTATGATCGCTATGATCCTTTCATAATTGCACATAATGTTAGGCAAGTGTATTATGCTCCTTATCCATTACGGCGGAATAAGTCTGATTGGTGGGTTGTAATAAAAACTAAACCTGTAGGTAGGGTGGAAGTCGAGAATGTGTTAGATGTTGCATATCAATATGTTATCTCCAGTGTTCACCAAATAGTGGACGAAATTTTAGGAAATGATTTGGAACATCCTGAATACATATTGGAAGAAGTTGATATAAATGAAGTAACAATTATAGAAAATGAGGAAGAAGAATTAACTAATGAAGCTCAAACTAGTGAGGAAGAAGAATTCTCGGACGAGGAACAATACGTTGATGAGATTTAAAAAGTTGGTTTCTTTAATAACCCTTGTTTTATAGCTAGTTTCTTATATGTTTCAATCTAAATATGTATTATATTTTGCATATGACAGGCAAAGGTCGAGGTAACAATGACTCTACTGGTTCTCGGGGTTGAGAAAAGGCTAGGAAGGCAAAGAGGAGGGTAGAAGATAATATTGCATCTTTTCCACCCTCTTCAGAGATGCCTATGCCTATGTCTTATCCTCCACCCCAGGGCTATTCTGAGCTGCCACAACATCACGAGACCTACACCTTCGTGCAGACACTAGGTCTTTCATCACAGGGCCATAGCACTATACGTCCGGCATATAGTCCAGCTGCCTCACGACCACGTGGATTGCAGCCATCTGCATCTCATGGATCGCATCCATCCATGTCACATCCACATGGATCACAGCCACTCGGTTCACAACCACTCGGGCCATCAAGTTATGTCGCAGTCACAAGGATCGCAACCATCTTCATCAACGACTCCATCTATTTCAGGTCTTTGCCTGCGAGATAGTAGCTCTGACCCCCCCCCCCCNCCCTACACACACACCTCTTCCACACATGCCTCTGATATACATGTTTCGGACGGTGATGTTGATGATGACGGGGAGGGGGGGGGTGCCTTATGATCAATATGACAGGAACATCACAGTCCCTGAGGGTGATGATGGGTAAGAGTTATTTGTTATTTTTACGTTTATTGTTTTGTACAATTTGTACTAAGATATTAATGTATTTTTTTTGTTAAATTGCAGGTTCATCCCGAGTAATATTACTACGAGGATAATCACCAAAGCCATCAGAAAGCTTTATGATGGCCCTTATGCAACTTGGAGTGAATTCCAATTCTCGCTGAAGGAGCAAATTTTCAATCAATTTAAGGTATAAATGTTCTTTTAAGCAGTATAATTATTTATATTTATGATATTTCCATATAATATTTAACTTTTGAAATATAGAGCAAGTGTGTATGGGAACACCGCTATAGCGCGGAAGTGGCTGCAAATTTTCATCACAAAGCTCGCAAGCGGTTGTCGCATAGTTTATCCAAAGCTAGAAAGTTGAACCAGAAGCCTGACTGGTTGCTTCAGAATTTATGGAAGTATTTGCAAAGGCAATGGCTTACCGCAAAGTTCTTAGAGAAGAGCGAAAAAGGAAATAAAGCTCGCGCATCTGAGAAGGGAGGCTCCTTGCACACTGGAGGTGCGATCAGCCTAGGGACAATAAAAAGAAGATTGGTACGTAATTGCTTAATTTATTTTAATTTTCAAAGTATATCTATTCTGTTTATTAACTAAAATTTATGAGTTTTCAGGAAAAAAAGTTGGGGCGTCCAATGAACCAAGATGAGTTATTCAAAGAGATTCATATTGTAAAGAATAAGAAAGAGACGGATCAAGAAAGGTGGGTCGAGGGCCGACCTTCGACTGTACATATAAGTTTTCACTTTTCATTAAGTATTTTGATTTATTTTTATATAAATTTTGAAATACTAATTCAATGTAGTTTTTCTTATAGGGTTGCTTCACAGCTGACGTGGAGGAATTCATACGCAGTCAGCCACCTAATGAGTCGGGCGAGCCAATCCAATCTTCGGACGAGGATGCTGAAAGAATGTGGACGAGGCTGCTGGCGGTCCAAAATGGGGGAAGGTATACGAGCTTCCTACTAAGAAATTCCATCGCTATAAGTGTGGAATGCAAAGAATAGGGACTTCCTCGCAAGGCAAGCAACTTGATGGGGAGAGTCTCTCCGCTATGCGGAAGACTGTGACAAAGCTCACATCCGAGCTAGAAGCGGCCAAGGAAAGAGAAAAGCTTAGAGATTCTCAGTACATTGGCATGCAAGCTCGGTACCAGGGAATGCAAGAGCAGCTCAAATCTCTCCTAGCTTCTGGAGGTTTTCCGATTCCCCAGTCTCGTGACTCATCGCCAGAGGGTCGACTTGGACGTGAGCGTTCCTTCCATCCTCCTCATGCTCGTTACTCCCGTCCTCCCCTTGATCGTTCTTCCCGTCCTCGACAAGTAGACCCTTTTGTATATCGTCTTGTTGATGAAAGTTCATCAGACGGTGATGATAATGATTGTAACGACCCGATCGGTCGTTTTGAGCTATAACACATTCTTTGGTAGTTTGAGGCCATGAACAGCTTCACTTCAGGTATTATGACTTGTACGCATCGTTGGAATTAAATTTCAGGAAGTTCAGAGTTGATTTGGAAAGAGAATTCTCATTTCAGAAACTTTAAGTTGAAAGAATGGACTAAGATTGGATCTTTGAGTAAACAACCTCGGAATCGGGAATCGAAGGTTCCAGCAGGTTCGTATGATGATTTTGGACTCGGACGTACGTCCGGGCTGGGTTTTGGAAGACCCGGGAACGTTTCGACGCTTATTGTGGAAGTTAGCATTTTGGAAGAATCTCATAAGTTTAGGTTGAAATATGCTCATTTGATTCCTTAAGATTTTATTAAAAGGCTAAATTTGACTTTGGTCAACAATTTTAGTAAACAGACCCGGATTCACATTTCAATGGTCCTGGAGGG